AAAAACACGAGCGACTTAGAGCAGTCACATCGCCGTGCCCTCTACCCCCTCAGCACAACGATGAACGATTTCATGACCTTCAACAAGGACATACACACACTTGCAAGAAAATGCTCTTTACAGAAAGACCAGTGACCATGTACTCTTTACACACATATACACACAGACACACACACACTCTCTACTGTATATACACAGGCCCGGGGAAGGCAGGGACACCGTGTTTTATGGCCATATGTGTTATGAAATGTGTAGTAAATATAATGTGTATGACTTTCATTATTAACCAGCTTTGAAATCTATTCCTGTTATTATTATTCATTTCAGTTATTCCCCCCCCCCCCCCCCCCCCCCCTCCCATCCCCAACTTTGTCCCCGTTTTTTTTTGTCTGTCGTTGTTTTGCATCTTAAATTTTGAAAGCTTTCGCCGGGAGGGACCTCCAGGGAAGGATTTATTTACAGGGAAAGTTACACAGCCGGTGAATCTGACCGGGTCACAAACCTGGATCGCCAGCCCTCGGCTTGGTCTGGGGTTAGGTTCGGGTTAGGCTCACACCAGCCGCTTATAACCGTGTTAGATAAAACCCGGCAGCAACATGATGATAAACTCCTGAGGACTTTCCACCTGGTGTAATTGCTGGTAATGATAGGGAGGGGGTACTGAGGAATGACACGACGTGTGTGAGTACCTCCAGTGATGGGTCCTTAGCCTCAAACCATAACCACTGCACATGTGGATGAGTTTGCTGCTCCAGTTCTGCTCCAGATACAGTGACTGGACACACAGCCTATGGCCAGGGATCTGACCAGCAAACTCTCGATTTCCACAGATAAAAGGAAGCCTCAAATCAAGAGACAAATACCAGTTTAAAATACCAAACCCTCCCCACCCACCCACCCCCACCCACCCCGCAAAAAAATATATATACCCCAAAAAGCGCCCCCAGTGACACGACATTTGTCGGGCGAACGAAATAAGTGTCAGATGTTCCCGATCAGACACACACACACACAAAAAAAAAACTATTCTATCATCCTGAAGTGTTGCAACATCTTGAAGGGCGGTCACTCGGCTGAGAACCACATGGCCGGATCTTCATTTAATACCTGTGATATTGGTGTAAATCACAGAGAGGCGCTGAGAAGGAGGCGCAACGCTCATAAGCAACGGATCCTGACTGATGTGAACGAAAACAACGTCCTTGTAATTACAGGGGGGGGGGGAGGATTTAAATTGACTGGACTTCTGTAAAAAATCCTATTAGTAAGGATGCCCCCCCCCCCCCCCATCTCACAAGCAACCAGTGTGAGATGTTAGAAAGGGTTATGAGAACATCGCAGGTGTCAGCTATTAAACCTGAGAGCCTTTCTAAACCATTTAGTTTAGCTGATAGTTAGATTCCAGACCTGATTTCCACCCCCCCCCCCCCCACCCCACCCCACTCCCTAACCACACACACCCCCAACCCTATCAAAACTATTCGCAACAGACTGATTCTTGTAAATGTTCTTTAGCAATTTCCTCGCAGACATTAATTTGGGGTTTATATTCCTGGTCAACAGTCCTCCAGATAAAGTTGATCATTCACTGAATGATTGTGTGTAGGGCATCGCTGTGCACAGATTGACTGCTGCGCTCACCAACCAGACATGCAGTCACTACACTTGACACTGAACCCCGTGAAAAGCTTCGAGACGTTTTCTGATAAAGCTTTACATCAAGCGCAAGGATGTTATAAGTGTAATTGCTTAGAGGAGGCTTTTTTTTCCCATTGGAAATGAGAGATGATAACATTGACAACGCTCTTTAACTATTGTAATATTAAAACTAAGGGCATGAATTAATATATATTCAATATATTACTCAAATACAGAAACATAGCTGATTTTAGAAATACATATCGATAGACACAAATTGTCTCTTTACACAGTTACACATTCTAATGGACCTCGATATATATATATATACACATATATATATAAAACGAGACAACGGGACCATATTTTAATGATTGTTTAAGTATTTCAGATACATTTTACTAACACATTCTCGGGGTGGGGGACGGGGGACACAATCACAGAAAGGTGAAAGGCGGAAAATCATCCCAGGTTTTCGTGAAGCTTTTTTATTATTATTTGCGACACGTTTCTCCACTGACATTGATGGGTGTCAGACGTGCGCGCCGTCTATTTGGCTACAACATACATTACATCGAACGAGCACTTGAAATGCATTTTTTAAATCTGGTTTAAGAAGTCAGAAACTAAGAATCATCCGATGGTGTGTGTGTGTGTGTGTGTGGACGGGGGGTGGGGGGTGGGGGGGTAATGGATCAGTTAACTTTACATATATCATCTTTATGTCACTGTAATTATTCTGTACACACACCAAACGCCAGAGCAGCAATGCAGCATTTGCATTTAAATGAAATCGCCGCTGCGCTGAGAAGCTGTAAATAATCTCATCGTTTCAACTTCGCCTCAAACACTCAAATGAGCGGTCAAACGCTCTTCAAGACCTTGGCTTTCGATCTCTTAACCCGAAACGAGCGTTAGATTCCTACCAGGCACTGGGAAATAAAAGGGGTCGGTCAAGTAAGAAAACAAATAAAAGTAAATCAGAAGGTTTTGTGAGTCATACAACACACACACATATATATATATATATATATATATATATACAAAGTGGAACCGTCATTCGAGTTTAAGTACATCAATTCGCCAAACAAAGAAAAAATAGCATATGGACATTATTGGGTGAGCGCCTTCCTGTGATTGTTTTGTCGCCTTCACTTCATCGGTAACCCTCTTTTTTTTTGTTTCGGTGGCTTTGGTTTGCTTTTGCAAAACGGAAACATGTTGGAGAGGGAGTGACTTTTTATTTGCAGTAGCGGAGGGGAAAGGAGAGCAAAAACCCCGAGGGCAAAAAAATCCCCCCCCCCCCCCCCACCCAGCCCCCCCCACCCCCATTCGTTATGATGGACAACAGTCCAGTTGGACCGATCGAGAGGGGCAAAGGGAGTCTGTGTGCGAATGTGAAGCGCACCGCAATTTACTCGGAACCAATGTCTTCAGATGAATTTCCACTGAGCTACTGCTGCAGCATTCGCTGTTAAGTCACGGGCGCTGACTTTTTTCTTAATCTTTAAAAAAAAATCTATTTCTCGTAGCATTTTCGTCCAACGGGTTCTGTTATAATCGTTGATCCTCCGAGATAGAAATGTATTGCATATTAGGCACACGTCTATCTGCCAAGTGCGCGCATTTTGGTCTCCCCCCGCTGATCTTTTCCAGAAACGATTTAAAGTGTCTGCTGAAATGAACACAAACGCCCTGGCGGATGAACATCTGGATCATTTCTGAACTAACGTTTTCTTTTTAAGGAATAAAACAAACAAACACCCCCCAACTACACACACACACACACACACATCCTATAAATGTGACCCTTCAAAAAGAAAGGAAGCAAAAAACGCTTCGCAGCATCACATCCAATGTAACATGTCCCGAGGAAATAAAGAACAGCGTCCAATGTTAACAGTCTTTCAGCCCAACATTTTATCCACTATTCTAATTGCACGACCCGCTCTATTCTGGTGTCAGAACCACTCAAACCTTTCCTTTTTTTGTGTGTGTGTGTGTGTGTGTCAACAGATGTGTATGCACCTTGCAGCAAATGGCCAACTGGGCTTCTTTTTTTTCCCCCCTCCAAACACAACAGATCATTTAATTTTAAAAACCCCAGAATGGTTGGTAGCTTTAATGCATGCGGTTATTTCCTGTTGGATTTTTTTTTTTAAAAAATGCAGCCGTGGTCCTTGTGACAAAAAAAGTAAAGCAGGCAAAGTTCGCGTGAGAAACCTTGAAATTGCTCATTTCGTCTCTACCTAACACCCCGTGGTCCCGTGTTTAGCCGTGACATTAATGTCAAAGCGTACCATAGAAGGCAAAAGAGCTCGACAGGAAATATACCTCTATATACGTGCAGAAAAATGCTGAGTATTACACCCGAAACAAACACTTTAAACCTCCCCAAGCATTGTATAATGCTATACAAATAAAATAAAATACAAATGGTTGCACCTCTTTAAAGATGAGTGAATATTGGTGCAGCGAGCGCCTTCGGACTTCCTTTACTGGGAGTAAACGCCCCGAGTTGAGAACTTACAAGAAAGACCCAGGCTGGAGCAAACCTTTCTGTTTTATTCCCTAAAACGGTGTATTCCCCAGTGATTCCACTCCAGTGTTTGCCCTGAATATCGCAAAGAAAGGGAAACGCAGACTAATAGTGGAGTATACTAATATATGTGGAATAATTATAATGTTAAACGTTTGAGAACAATACAACGATATATACATATGTATATATATACACATATATATTAAATCCATGAAATTAGCCTTTCTTCCAATGGATTTCTGTGGGGCTATAGTCTAGTTGCCCCGCGTTAATCATCAACCTTCTCCAGTGCCAGAAATACCCTAGAAATCCACCAATATGATGTTATTGACCAACGTAACGAAATTGGGAAACTTTCTGACACCAACACGAACGTGTCGACAACACCTCCTGCCAAACCCTTAACTGCTAAGCATAGTTCAGTTCACTCTCAAATTAAAAACAAAACACCAGCCAGGAATAAAGCGCGCCCCACACCCCCAAAACCCCCCTTCCCCACCCCACCAAAAAAAAAAATCCCAGCTATTTTGCAATTTTTTTTAATATATAAGAAAAAAAAACATGGTCTTCAAACGGTGTGTGGGAGAGGGCCACGGTCCCTCAATGGTTAATTCCGAGCACTTTCCAGTCCCCGAGTTATCAAGGTGTCTGTCTGATGGGGGACAAAATGTCCAAATTTGCGGTTGTTTGCCCTGTAATTCCTGTCGAGCGCTATTGGACAGCAGCCGCTGCTTCCATATCTATTGGATACCGATGGTTTGACAGGCACACGGACCTCTCCCCTGCAGTAAAAATGCGGCAGAAGTTTGCATCAATCAGCCAGGGTGAGATGACAGAGTCAGAGGCAGAAAGTGGAGTAAATTGAATTACTGCACACGCACACACACACACGCACATACACGCACACGCACACACACACACACACACACACACACACACATAGCCAGCAAAGCAACATGCTAACTGGGACTGTTAGAGATACTGTAACCAGCTCTGGACTCCTACAGCTCTGTGCGTTTGTGAAGCACTGAACTTTCAACGATTTGGAAACTGCTCTTCGACATACGAGAGAGAGAGAGAGAGAGAGAGACAGAGAGAGAGAGAGAGAGAGAGAGAGGCTCTCACATTCTCAAGTTGGCACGTTTATATATTTATATAGATACACACATATATATATATATATTTATAATATATATTAAACCTTGTTTTTGGTCTCTCATTCAACTTATTCTTGGACGGTCCTTGCGCGGGCGATGAGTGAGAGGAGGAGATCAGCTGCTGCCCTGAGCTCCAGGGCTCACGCTTTCTCGGTGGAAGCGCTGATCGGGACAAATAAAAAGAGGAAAATCCAGGAATGGGGCGAGAAGACCATGGAACTGAGCGTGGACAGTATGAGCCCGGACTCAGAACTCGCAGACACCGTGGATCCGAGTCAGTGCATGGAGATCAACTCGGGTTAGTGTTTTTTTTTGTTATTAAACACAGACGCACAGCACACACATTAATTTTCTCCCAATTTCATGATGGAAGTGTTGTGAGAGCGGCTGGCGACCGGTCTGACTCTTTTTTTTAACAAAAAAAACAATGCCCTTTAAGTCATTTTAAAAGAAAATCGTGGTGTGGGGGGTGGTGGGGAGCAACATATTGCTTCTGCATGCTATAAAACAATAACCTAGACTTATAAATAATAATAAATGTCCATTACATTTGGAAACGAAATATCTCGTTATTATTATTATTATTATTTAAGGAAGAAATAATATGTTCCTTTAAATTCCACACATATGTTTGTACGTGGCTTTGCTCTTCTCTTGCAATACACAGTTGTACCCTCTCCCCCCGTTTTTGGCGGTGGGTGGGTGGTGGGTGGGGGGAGAGGGGCTGAGGGAGAGAAGGGAGAATGGCACATCTGCAAATTCTGATCGATGGATTTGAAGCAAATGTTTCGCGTCGCGTCGGGCAGACGGGAACAGCTTTAAAACCACTCATTATACCAATATAATGTGATTGAACAATCGCGGGATTCAAAATACAGTAAATCTCGAGAACAGCCGGATGTCGTTCGGGATTTTTCCCCCCCCCCCCCCCCTCCCTGCGTGTCAGGACTTACTTAATTCGCCATCAGTCAGTTAAAAGGCGACACACTCCTCTACTCCTCTCGTTGCTGTGCAGTCAAAACAATAATTAGTAAAACAGTCGCCGCAGTTTGACACATCACTAACCGAGTCAGTGCGGGCGGTGGGGCTGACACCCTTTGGCTGATTTGCCCTGAAACAGAAGTCTGGGTGAATTGTGGATGGGTCCCCGATCACCCAGACCCCTTTTCCTGTCCAGCCCCGAACCCTAACCAGAATATTTCAACCTGAGTGTGCAGTACGCACTGAGATGTTTTCAGACGCACTTTGCCGTGCACTTTGTTCACATCCTGTATCCTTCTGTGGCACAATATTCATCATTCCTTATCCTCTCTCTCTCTCTCTCTCTCTCTCGTGTGTGCAACCCACCCAACACGGCAACACCCTATGCCGATTTAAGAATAAGTTATATTTTCTTTGGAGAGCAGTGTAAACAATAATAGGTCCTGGCGTTGTTTGAGTTGGGTTCCAGTTGTTTCTTTGCATTACCGTTTGCTAAGCTAATGTTATACAGGTAGGAGAGGTTTGATAATTGAGTCCCAGAGAGGGGTGGGGGTGGGGGGGGGTGGGGGGGGGAATGTAATTCTAAATCCCAGCTGCTGTACTTTTTTGTAAGTAACTTCTTACTTCAGGCGTTTGCACGTTTCTTGAAAGCACAATCGCGTATTTGTTTTTGCCGTTTTAAAGCGAAGTGATTCTGCTGAAAGCAAAGGAGAGGAGAGTTTGATCGAAGCCACTCGATTTGTACACGACAGTACAACGCTGTGTCAATTTCACTTTATCAGCGTCGGTTCCAGTGGGGGGGAAAAAAAAAGCAATCGCGTGATTTAACGTTTTACAATTGCCCAAAAGGTTGCCCTTGCTTCATTTACCCAATGTGAGTTAGAAACTGAGTGATATTAAAACATGTATGATTTAAATGGCGAGACGTCTGTGTCGTAAGTCATACGGTTCCAATTACAGTGATACAGGCAAGAAAAAAAAAGGTCTCATTAACTGTGAGACACGCACATAAAATGACAATACGCTTCATTCAGTCAGTCCTATTGCCACTGATAATTTTATTGGATTGTAAACGTGAATGTCCTCTCCAGACGACGAATCCTATTTCATTTCCCCCCACCCCCCCCCCCTCCACCTCAACAATCGTGTTTGGGTGTTTTACAGGCGATAAAACATCGCTGCAAAACAATTGCACCTCTCCTTTTAACTAAAGGGCCAATGCGAGATGACTCGACCTTTTGCACAGGGAAACGAGAGAAAATAGAAGAGGGCAGGAGTGAGTGTTTGCTGAGAGGTTTGCCCTGTTTGTGCGCCGCTATTTCAAATGGAAAAAAAAAACACACACACCCCGGAGTTGCAATAGATTAGTTACATTCGGTAAATGGCAGGTCAACAATCTGGTTAGGAATGATGGTTTGCTCCAGGCTTTTTTTTTTAAGGTTGCAGCGAGGCCCTCGGAGCTCTGCATTGCAGCTGTCCACTTGTTGTGCGAAGGAGTCGGTGCTATTTTTATTTACGTTGGACATTGCAGGCAAACCATCCAAATTCTAGCCGAGAGGGCAGTGGACTGGATGGAGCGTGTGCCACATTCATAGGAAATGTGACTTAAAGTGTCTCCAAATCATCTTTTTCACTGCGACAAATTAACTTCTGCGCCCTCAGGCTTTTTTTTCTCTCTCTCTCTCTCCCCTCCCCCCCCCCCCCACCGTGCCTTGTGTCTTGATCTTCATCCTAACCTTGTTAAGAGTGGAAGGTTTTTATTTATATCTGAAGTGAATACCGTCCCTTCGATTAACCCTTTAAATTGGAACTTCGTAATGCGGACGCTTTTTAATGCCCTCTCCTTGCCCCGCATTTAAATAGGTTGTGTGTGTGTGTGTGTGTGGGGGGGGGGGGTTATAACTCTGAACCATTACAGATCAGAATGAAATAAATCTAAGCAGAGGCTGTGTTCAAAGAATCGCCTGGACAGAGACATCGAACGTGTCCCCTTGAGATCGGTGGCGATAACTATCCCATTGGTTATTTTCCACGATTAAACCATCGGAATCAGACAGTGTTTCTTTGGATAACTCTTTTTTTTACAAAAAAAAGACCCCAAATAATATCATTACGACGACCGACGATCGGCTCGGAAGTTTTCCACGATCACAATTGGAAGGAAGTCCGTGCAGTGACCTGAGGGGGTAACGAAGGACACTTTTGCTGAGGAATTGGTCCTGGGGGTGAAGTGGAGCACTGGGAACGCAGGTGATTCGGGGGGGGGGGGGTCGGAGCGCCAGGCACTTTTCCTCTCAGCTTTCTAGTTTAAAAACACTCCTTGCAGAGCACACGAGGTCTGTCTTTTATCCACTTACCCTTCAGGACTTGTTTAACTTTGTTGGGTTATTCCCTTCGCTCCCCCTTTCCTCTCCCCCCCCCCCCCCCAACACACACACACACACACACACACACACACAAAACAAGTTTGCGTACCTTTTCAGAAAGCGCCATCCTTGTCAAATTATGAAATCGTTTACAATTAGTGCTTTAAGAAACGGGTAAGGCTGGGGAGCAGAGTGAGACAGTGTTTTGTCAGATGCACTGACCTGCCGCCCTGTTCCCTGTCATCAGGTTCAAACCCTTGACAGAAATCTCTCTCTCTCTCTCTCTCTCTCTGCCCCACTAACAGCTGATCCCTGAGTCAAAGGAATGCTTTTATTATACAGTGTCTTCGGGGGCAAAGCAGAGCAATTGCGACCTATTCGGCGAGGCTAATAATTTGCAGAGTTCTACATATACAGACAGCAGGACCGCGAACCTTTTTTTTTCTTTCAAATGACCTGGAATAATTCAATGAAGTGGTAATAGCGGTGCTATGTTGATTTGATACTTTAAATCAGTAGGTTTGGTCAATGGTTTGCGATCCCGGGGGTGGGAGCAGCGCTGTGCATTCGTGTTCAGTGGGGGTCGGTGCGTTGGAATTCTTGATCCATCAATACGGACGAGTCAGTGGTTCCACAGATTAGTTTTCAGTGAAGTCTGTACTTCGGAAGATGCGGAGAGTCGCGTTTAGACGCTTTCCGCTGTTGCAATTGACGTCTCTCTCTCTCTCTCTCTCTCTCTCTCTCTCAGTGAGGTGCGAGCCACCGACCTGGGGACCTGGGGACTTAGCTCTGTGGTCCCAGACACCCACATCAGTCCATACCGTTGGCATCTACCACACCGACCCTCCCAACTCTCTCCATACCTCCCCCCCCAACCCCCTCTCTTTCATATAGTATATGTCAGGACCTTTATTATTTTTCGTTGCTGTTGAAAAATTCACCTGGCATTTTTTTTCCTCTGTGCAATTTTGTCTTGTTGATGGTTCAAAAAATATGATTGGGAATTTGTAGGTGGGGTGGGTGGGTGTGTGGGGGTGGGGGGTGGGTGTGTGGGGGTGGGGGGTGGGCAGAGGCGATCTCTAAAATACTTTCCCGCAGAAATAGTAGGAATTAAAATTGAAATGTCTCAGGAGTCAGGACCCGCGTGGGTCTTATTTTCTCTTCAAGTGCGAAAAAGCGACTGCAAATATTGCAAAGACTGACTGAAGCCTCCAGTCGGTCACTGCGCTAACATTCCCATCTGCAAATGCCAAGTGTCTTCTTCTTTTTTTTGGCTTTGATATCTTTGCAATTGCTAGCTAGGTTTCCAAGGAACCTTTCTGAATCCCCTCTATCTACTTGCAACTCTGTGCGATTTTCGGGCATCCCCGAAACCATGAACTAACTAACTAACTAACTCACCACTCTCTGCAGTCATGTTTCATTTTATTTCGCGTTGATGCTTAACACCGAAACCGTAACGCGTACTGACCGACTCACTATAATACATAACCAGGTGAAAAAAACTCGTGATACCATTACAATGTTTAATAAGTCTTAAAGAAATTATGATATATATTATAATATATATATATTAGATAACAGAGTAGCTTCACGACTTGTTGGTCGCCCTGTGTATATATATATATATACTATATATATATGTATATGTTTCCTGATGAAACATTGATAACGAATACATCTCTATACAGTTTGGGAATTTTTAAACAATGTTTATAGGTAATAATAATCCCCCCCACACATTCAACGCCCACAAAATACAGTCACTCCACTTTACAATATGTGCTGCGAAGCGCTCGGAGACGTCTCAACGACGTGATAAGGCGCTCTTATCACACGCAAGGATTATTATTATTATGTATTCTAAGGTGTTATAATTGTTATAATTATTATTATTATTATAATGTATAATATCTGTGTTATAATGCATACGGCGCCTGATCGCAGCCCC